GACGAGTCGCCGACGCCCGTGAGATATTTGGCATGCTAAATATCTGGACCTGTCGGCGATTCACAATCCTGCTGTGTGAATGTGTTCTGACTAAAAACTACATCGGCGATGACCGACAGCCAATGAGAGAGCAAGATACAGGGAGGAGGAGGAGTTATAGACCAGAATATCAGTATTTTAATAGATAGGCTTATATTTACAATTATATCAAACATAAACAAAGCACAAACATTTGCATGACCAGCAGCAACAGCAGGACATTTGCAAAATTATTTATTTACCCCCAACTCTATTTGCAAAACACAGTCCTTGCTCCGCTCGTCTTCCCAACCATTTCCTGCATAAACTGTTTATATATATTTTTTTCATTTTCGCTACAAATCAGTGCACAGACAATTTGTAGGCTATCATTTTTAATAACAAATTCAGTGTCGCGCGAGAACTCTGGTCTCACGCACGCGTGATCTTCCGTTATTTCCTATCACTTCTCGCGTTTGTTTGCTTGTGAAACGTAGTTTGCGGACCAGGCAGAAGTTGTCGGCGATTCTTTCTTTTGTAAAGTCATGCAGTGTGAAACCTCCTGTCGCCGATCCATCGTGCAGTGTGAACACAGCAGCAACTGAATGTTACCCCAGATAGTCATGCAGTGTGAAAACAACAGTGACCCGATTATTTTGAAAATCGTGCAGTCTGACCTCGGCATTAGAGGACCCAACGAGTCAATGTATAGAAAAACAATGTAGTAATTAGATTTTCGTTAAAATATACTTAGGCCCTGTCCCAAATGGAACCCTAAGCACTCGCGGTCTTCCTCTGAGTCCGCACTTTCGCGACGTAACGCCGCTTTGAATGTCGGGAAGAAGTCTGCTGTGGAGTCCGCATCAGCGCGGGCTCGGCAAAAGTGCGCATCAAGGGCGCAAATCGACCGCAGAGGGGGCGCTCGCGAGCACCCTTCTGAGATCTAAAAATGACAAATGGGACACACTGCGGTCTCACGGACTTAACGGACACGCGCACGCGGCAGCCATTGTAAGTCCACAAGACCGAAAGTGCACATGAAGTGTGCCATTTGGGATTGGGCCATATAAATACGTTACATTGGCTTCTGGAGTCGTTTTTGTGAGAGATTTTTACTTTCGCATCTGAAAATGGGCGTGACGGGCGTGACATAACTGGCGGGAGAGCGGTCGATTCAAACCATTCAAACAACAGGAAAACAATGGATCGCAATGACATTTCGGACTTACTCGTATGACAGACCACGGACGACAGCCTTACAATTATGAGCCTGCTATGCTGCCGAGAGAGCATGGACAGGCCAGGATTAATGTTAGACAGAACAACGGTCAGAGGAGACACATTATTGCAAAAGTATTATATAAAAACTTGTGTGGAGTGAGTTTGCGCAGCCGCAGTTTATTGCATCACTTAATCGCGCATATTTTTGATTAGCCTAGCTGTCAGATACTGAGTAAACATTAAAAGAACAGGCCTATTTAATCTTCCCTGGATGTTTTTTTTAACGAAGAAATGAAATAATAGCAATCAGGAGAATGGAAGCAGCAATAAAAAAATGAGGACTGTAGTGTTGTCGGCAAAACATTATACCACTGCATTAAAAACTGCACTGCAACAAAAAGGTAAGGCATATGTGTTTTTATATTTAATGCTGTTCACTGTGAGTTTTAATTAATAGTGTAATAGTTAATAGTGCATCGATCATTCTGTTTGGTGAAATGTGAGGTGTATATCGATTATTACCATCGTATATCAGTTAATAGCAAAGCTATTATTGGTCATCTAGTATTGGAATTTACCAATAACAGAATAAACTATTGATCAGACGCGTATGTCATGTTCATTAATATCCGTCCAGACTAACGTTACGTGATATAACTTAGCGGTTTCTCATCGAGAGACAGATAGATATTTTTATTCCTGATATACACGTTTTTGTTCCTCAGATCTGGTTTACGCTACACACGATCGCGTTTTTCGAAGCCGATGCGGAAGAGAAATCCTGTCTTTACAGCTGCACAAACCGCACACAGGCACAAAAGATATACAGCACCGTCCCTTTTCTTGTTATGAAACCTGACTCGATGTCCTGACAGGCCGGAGTTTTTGCAACCTCCACAAACACAATAATTTACCATGATGACGATGATAAATTAAAATACAAAAACTACCGAAAACACTGATTCACGACCGCTCTTACTGACTTTTTTTTTTAATTCGATGCCACAAGAACAAGAGGTTTTACATATTCACAATATCACATTAACATTAGCTGCCAGGAAATAAAAAATACAAAAAAAGTTTTGAATAAAATCCAGTGCTTTCAAAGCATTACATGTTTTCATTGCTTTTTTATTTTTGTTTGTTCCAAAAGATGTACATATAATGTGAAGTCATTTATAAAACGTGAAAAAAAGCCCAATTCTTTTTATGTATATGGTATTTTCCTAATAAAACAAATAACTGTATAATATGTTGTTCTTTACATTCCAAATTGTCATTCTGAGTATAAAAAAGCAAATTTACCCGTTTGTACTGAATACAAACCTATCTGCGCTGCTGATGCTCCCTCCCTCTGGTGACGTAAAATGACGCGATGTTGAAAAAAAAAACGTTTTTTACGAGCAGTCACTTTATCTACTAAATTTGTGCCCTTATGTCGTTTTAAAACATTTTAAATCCTGCATTACCTTTTCATATGGTATTTTCATACAAGGTTATATTAATTTAGAATTTTTTTTTTAACCTGCAATATGCTCTTTAAATCACAGCTCGGCCAGAACCGTTGAGCACGATAAAGCCGCAGTTTCCTCCTAATCTCCTCCATATCGCTTTAAAATATAGCATTTTGTGTAGAATTCAAATGGGTCAGATATGTTTTCTGGTCTGCGCTGACTTGCGCATATTATCCGCTCTGTCTATCGTGTCTCTGGACCGGAGCATTGTCTGAATCGTTCTCCATCCCCTATATTGTGCACTATGTGCCATTCACCATGTAAAAAAAATAGTAAATGTGTGAACAAGTGACTGATTGTAGCTACAGCTTCAGTGTCCATTTATAGTGTAGGGGGCGGGGCGCTTTAGATTCTAGAGCATTTGACTGACAGAAGCTGAGGTGCAGCGAGACATCAAACTCATTTTTTGATTTCATGGGGACTTTAAGGGGAAATTTTGCAAATGGTGACAGAAAACTCGCTTATGAGTTAACTCTTTTTTCTTACCTTTATAGTCTTAAAAAGGGGCAATATAATATAAATCGAGCATGAGCAATGCTAGAGACTCTAGTCCACTTTTTGCATTTGTCCAATCAATGACAATGCAAATATGCAAATTAATTGTTAACCCCATGTAAAGTATGAGCAGTGAGAAATGTGAAACAAGATAACAGGATTCCATTTTAGCCGTGGTTTAGAATATTATAATAGTGTTAACTAGGCTATTACAAATTTGAAAAGCTCTCAACATGAAAATTAAATTTTTTGAGAAGCCAATGCCTATGACATGCTCATTCCTCAAACTAAAAAAAACACACAAAAAAAAAACGTGTGCTACATATGGATTCCACCACCACAAATGTTCTTGATGAATCAGTTAACTATTGTTGTTCTCACTTAACTAACATTGCAGTATGGAGATGAGCCAAAATATTAAAATTATATTACAAAAATAAATGGAAGAAATTGGACTGTCTAACATGGCTTTAGTAGCAGATAATGTACAATTATGACAGAATATTTAACTATTCAGATTACAGCATCTTCATGTATTGAACTAAAAAAGCAGGAGGACTTTAACATAATTTGTAACAAATTAGTTATAAGTACTAGTTATAAGTTAGTTGGGTATTAAATGAGATTCAACATTCAAATTTTTTTTTTTTTTAAGTACAGCATTCAAAAGGTACAACTTTATGTTGTTCTGCCTAAAGGTAAGTTTAACTGTTCTATTGTGAAAGAAAAGCCAACCAAGTGCACTGCAGCATAATATATTTAAACATGAAAAACATATGAATACACAGTATATACAGTTAGCTACAAAAAGTGTTTTAACACTTTAAAAAAAAAAGTTTACAAAACATAGAAAAAAATTAAAGGCATATTTAACTGAACAAGAACAAAAACAACAGTAGGTGTTCCCTAGTAATCAACCAATCATTAATGTGCTAGACAGTGAACACATGGGCTTACACATCACATTTGGCAAATTGTTCCCAATAGTATTACTCCAAAAAAATTAATTAATTAAATCCGCAACTCTAGAGTGACCTGAAAAGTAAGAAGTTAAGCCTCACTGGCCTGATTACTTTGACCTAAATTGGCAGGCACATGGTAATGCAGGGTGTATTTGGATCTTCAACAGGTTGTGGATAAGACCCTTCTGGGTTAAGCCAAAATATGTCATAATCAACAAAATGCATGTAGATAACATAATAATATTAGCTTGCTTTAATGATACGTTTGTGATAGCTCGGTTATAAACAGTGATTGATATTTGCCCAACTCTCCGATACCAGGAGGATAAGAAATATTTCAGCAACACCCAAGCCTACAAGCTTTGAGAAGGCATCAGGTGGCACGTCTGCTACGTCTGGGGTGTGTGTGTGCAGTATCTGAGTAAACTCAAATGGAAGAACGAGGTTTTGCTGTCCTAAGAAAGAGTGTACAGGAAGCAGACAGAAGCAAGTGGCAGGCTGAGGCTCATTAGAGCTTCTGCAGGAAGTAGCATCCTCTGCCTCCAGCATGCTTTTGCAAATAGACTAGAAAAACTGGCAGAAATAGAGGTTATGTGACTATGCTATAAGAATGAAAGCAGTGCTAAGAAGTGTATTCCTGTCAAGTCTGTAATCAACAGAATTTGTCTTTTGTTATATCCCGGGTTAAACAACATCATAAAAAAGCTTAGTTAACCATAATACCACATAAAGTGAAGAAACGATAGAGTACACGACCGTGTGAAACAAAAGAACAGCTGTATGTCATACAGGAAACAAAAGTGCTTGCTTCCAAACATTACAGATGTGTTTAACTCCGATGGCTTATCCAATCACCTTCTCTGCTCCTCCATTACACCTTTCAATGCAAGTCAACATTTGAATGCAACTGAGATGTGCAGTCTCACGGACAGACAAGTCTTTCACCAATGCCCCTGCAAAGTGTGCTCAGGAGAATCAGGTGAGACGGGATCACAGTTGATCCAAACGAGATGCAAGTCGCCTCCTGAAGCCGAAACTGAGCTCTAGGTAGGAAGAGGGTCGTCGTCGCCACGTTTACACTTGCATTTGCAGCAGAGGACGAATGGAGTAGCCAGCAAAAGGAAAGGGGAGGCCACTAGCAAGAGCAGACCGAAGCCAGCAAAGATCCCAACAACCTGATCACAGAAGTGAAAAGATCACAATGAAAAAAAAAAGGAGGAAAAAAATAAATAAAATAATGTGTGCACATTCCTGTTGATTATAAACTGAAACAGATATTGGACCGTGATGCTCTTACATGTCAAACCAGAAGGCAATCTGCCACGGGAGGGCAGTAATGGCTCTTGGTAATCATATCTTGGTGTTTATTCTATGTTACTGGCACTGATCTAGTTTTTTTCCTGAAAAAAGCTTCTATTTAATTTTGGGAGCATCAAGAAAGTAAAAACGTTCCAGTTCTGAAAACGTTAAAGAACTGTCTAAATAAAATGGAATATCAACAAGCAAACATGCAAAAAACTTGGCTTTTTAAAAAAAAAACGTATTGATATTGTGTCCTCAAACAAAACAAAAGTATATAATTTATTGATATATTAATACTTTAAGCAAGGATGCTTTAAAATTGATTGGAAGTGACCATGGGGCATTAATAATGTTACAGAGGATATCTTTTTTAAATTACTGCTATAAATTCTATTAATCAAAGAAGAATCCTGAAAAGTGAAAAAAAGAAAAAAAAAAAAAAACGGTTTGCACAAAAATATTTAGCAGCACAACTGTTTTTAATATTGATAATAATAATAAATGTTTCTTGAGCACCAAATCAATATATTAGAATGATTTCTGACGGATCATGTGACACTAAAGACTGAAGTAATGAGGCTGAAAATTCAGTTTTGCCATCACAGGAATAAATTACATTTAAAATATATACTGTATAAAATTGAAAACTTATTTTAAATAATAATAATACTACACAATATTATTTTGTACAGTATTTTAATACTTAAAACAGCATAAAATACTTCTTTCAGAAAAAAACTAACTAACTGATCCCAAACATTTAATCAGTATACATTGTATATATAAAACAATGACCTAAGTCTAAAATGTACCTATTTTTAATTGATGGAATAGCCCATTAGTTTTGAGATAAGTGCTGAATTATCAAACTGATGATTTGAGTTGACAAAGTATTAAGAGACAATGTGGTTCCCTCTACATCAAATGTCTGAAATATTAACTTACAGCATTAGATGAGGGGGAGTCCCTTTTAAACATCTACTGCTAGATAAAGAGACGCATCATATGCATACACACATTTAGGCAGGTTTAAATAGGCATTACTGACTCCTGTTGTGCATTTGAGAATCACCCACCTCTCACTTTCTCCATTTCAAATACAAGAAAGTATCTCTAATCTCTCCTTGCACAGTAAAGACATAAGCCACTCTTAAAAAAAAATGAACACATCCTACTACAGACTGATAGATCATGCTCTGTTACTTTTACAAAATTGGAGGGTTATTTAAGGTGAACTGTGTAGGCCAGCTTGTCTTTAGCATTTCAGATCTGGAGGGATATGCGCTCATGTGGTACATACCTGCGTCCGATGCCAGATGACGGAGGCTCTGGAATGTCCCAGTTTGTTCCGGCACGGACCTTTATCATAGTGGATCAGTAAGAAGTCATCCTGAGGAAGTGAAGGAAAGATGTTAGTGTCAATAAAGTTAAAAAAGAGTTACATGGAGAAGCAGCACTTTAAAACTCCCACAATATATTGGTCTAACCAAGCATGACTGTAGTGGAGCAAGAACACATTTAATAAGACATTCCTATGGGAGTTCTACCTTTATGGTACATTATTATTTCAAAGAGGCCAAAAAATGTCTATACTAATTATGTCTAATAATAAAATAATAATAAGTTAAACATGTCATATGCACAACTTACATCCAATGACTCCAGGCAGTACCAGCAGAAGGCATGCTTGCAGTTCTTACACATCATCTGGGCACAGCCTTCATCTCTCTCAATGTACACTTTACATTTAGGACAGCGTTTGATCGGAGCCTCGTCCTCCAGGCTCTTGATGTTGAAACTGAAGCGGGGAGATGAACATGGAACAGAACAGAACAGATGTTGAGCGTCATGTTCTGTTTAGGGTCTGAGAGACACATATTGCTAATGTTATGAAGTCTGATTATAAATCAAACCTAAACTTGCTAACATGTTTCAAGGTTATATATAAACACTACAGTTTTCGGAGTTGGATTTTAGTCTCTTATGCTCGCCAAGGCTGCATATATTTGATCAAAATAAAGTCAAAACTGTAATAGTGAAATATTATTACAGTTAAAAGGGACTGTTTAAAAAAAATATATTTTAATACATTTTAAAATTTAACTTATTCCTGTGATGGCAAAGCTGAATTTTCAGGATCAGTACAGTCTTCAGTGTCTCATGATCCTTCAGAAATCATTTTAATATGCTGATTTGCTGTTCAAATAACATTTCTTCTTATCAATTGTGAAAACAGTTGTGCTGCATTATATTTTTTAGGATTCATTTTTTTGGGGATTCTTTGAGTAGAAAGTTCAAAAGAACAGCATTATTTGAAAAATAAATATTTTGTAACAATATAAATGTATTTACTGTCAATTTTGATGCATCTTTTTTATTATTGTTTCTACAGTGTTTTTTTTTTAAATCAAACGGACTCTAAACAGAATTGTTACTAAAATTAATACCAGATGCAGTGATGTAAAACAAAAGGAACTTTAAATAGGTCAAGAAACTTAAATAAGGGGGAATATAGGATAATTATTATTATCTGTACATAATGGGGTACACCCACAGAAGCAAAATCTCTGCTGTGAATGCTACATGATTTGATGCTGAGGTTTTACCCGTTTTCCCCAGGCAGGAAGGTGGTAATTGGCAGGCTCTCCTGACATGCCTGGCCAGTGTGGCAGTCCGCCCTGCAGGCAGAGCAGAAACGCAGACTGCACTGAGGGCATTGCACCGGCTGCGGCAACTGCACCTCTGCTTCATTCAGCTGGCACACCGTTTGGCATGAGGACGACGGGCACCAGGTCCGACAAGGATCCAGAAGCACCTCTGTAAGGAAAAACAAACAGCATGCTTGAAATGATGACTGGTCATGGAAATTTTAGACTGTATATTAAACTAACCATGTTTCTAACATCTAACCTTATTTTACATGCTTATTTAACACTTTGAAACACCATGTACTGTTCTGTGTTTTTGAATGTTGTAGGCCTATGTTGCCATACCCCTGTTGTGTGTATAAATAACATAGTTTGGGAAATGAAACTAGACAGTATAGGTTTGAAACCTTATGATTATGAAGTAATAAAGAACCAATCAAATTGTAGGGAAATTATGTAATGCATCATGTCATTTTGGCCCATTCTCCTTTTCTATAAAAACTGTTGTATTTGTGTTTGCTGGCAGGATTCTCAATGGGATTTGTCTGAGATCCACCGGCCATGCTTATTGCTTCTTTTTGGGAGATTCTCTCGAGAACTCCCGGCCGCAATAAAAGAGCATTTAAAGGACAATTACTCAAGTCTGTCTGACATTTAAGCTGCGCAGCGAAGAAAACAAGTTAGAATTATCGACTCGACATCAATAATTTATTTATTTCATTATGCATCTCTCAGGGAAACTCACCTCGCTCAAACTGGAGTCTCTTATAACGTTGCATGATCTCTGCAGCCACCATACACTCAATCTACAGCAGAGAAACAGAGTATATGAGCAAGACAGGATCAAATGACAGAGGAAGAGTGACTGTCTTAATACTTTAAAACTTCTAAAGTCTTTATAGTCTCTGACAAAAATGACAAATTTTAAGAGAGCTTACCTCATTTTCTAGCAAATGTCCCCGTTTCGGGCAGGCAGAGTCTGGACAGCTAATAGCCGGTTCGAGGCCCTCTTTAATGAGCAGTTCAACATATTGCTTCAAACACTGTAAGAGACAGATTTCTTATTTTTCATCTTTGAAAAAATGATGAGACAACTGCCTGTGGTTATGTTTCCACCCACAAACACTCTGTTCATTGTAGTCAAGCCAACATCAGACCAGTGGCGGAGCCAGGATTTTTTCATAGGGGTGGCCAGGCAAGGGCCAGCAAACAGTCTGGGGTGGCATTTAAATCTTAATTATTTTAAGATAAAAATTAGTTTAAATAATGTATTGGACTGTTTTAGTGGCTTCCAACACAACTGAATACAGTTCATTTGTACTTAATTGTAATTGAGATAGTAGCCTATTAGGAATCATAGAATACTGAGTGAATTTGATCTTTTTTATTATTATTACCACCTCCAGGCATATTAATAAAGAGTACACACACTATAGCTAAAGTTCAACTTGCTCAGTTAGCTTGGTTCTGGTTCTCAAAACCCCCAACATTGTTGCACCTTCATGGATGAGACATGCAGATAACTACTGTGGTTCGAAGATTATTTAACCTTCATTGAATTTGATATAATCAATTAACTCTTCAACTTTCTATATTAGTTGTCAAAATAAAGAATCTAAACCGTTCTATCATACCTAAATTAAAAAGGGGGGGAAACATCTCTTTTGAATCCCTATGTGCAAGAATGTGAACAAGGCGGAAGTAAACAGCACATAAATAGAATTACGAAATAGAAAGAGAATTACGTTGTTGTTTCTTTGACTGGACATATGCGACTCACTCAAAACGGTCTCGCAACCCCCCAGTTGAGGAACATCGAATAGGCTACTATGCTCCGATCACTGCTCAAGCTCATTCGGTATTTCCGCACTCGTTTGACTTGCGCCTGGCGCTGAGGTGAAGTTGGAGTGCGCGTCTGAAAAGTCTCACGTTTTTTGTGGTCTTAAAGCGACGGTTCTGTGTTTTAAAAACAAAATTCTTGTAAAAAATAAGAGCGAGACAGAAACAGCAGTTGTGAGAGGGGTGGCCAAAGGGGTGGCCAAGCTTAAGCCAAGGGTGGCCATGGCCACCCCTGGCCACCCCCTGGCTCCGCCACTGCATCAGACCATCACAGCATTCTGCTGAGACAACATTCAAGAGCTGCGTGTAGAGAACATATCAAGCTTCAAAAATCTTTATTAGCATGGCAAATACAACTTCTTTCCATCCATCCGACACGTCACAAGAATTAGGGGCATATGAGCACCAGCTTAATGCAGTTACATTACTGCTGTATTCTCACATGTAAAGAGACTGCATTACAATTTGTTTTGGAACACTAGTTGGCACATTGCTGAAAAACACACAGGAGTGGCCACTGAAGACACAGTCCTTACCAGACTGCAAAATATGCACTGGCACTGGGAGATGGTGGTCATCTGTTCCAAGGGAAACTCTCCCAGGCACAGTTTACAGGACAGAAGCGGCGCCAGGTCCACATCCCAGCTGGGTTCGTAGCGAGAGCTGCTCATGGTGCGCCAACCTGGGACACTAAAAGACAGAGAGAAAGCATGTCTTAAAAACAGTTAATAAATGCCATATTGTATCTATATAAAGATTAAAAACAAAACACTACAAATTATAATTGATTTTAAATGCAACAAGTGAATTTAGGCACTGCCATTGTTTTTTTTTTTGTATAACTAGCATAATATGATTTTAGTATAATTTATATACTATTACAGTATTCATATTTAGAATTAGCTTTTTTTATATTTTCAGTTTTAATTTGAGTGTTACTAATGTTGTGCTTTTTTCAGATTTTTTTAGTTTTTGTTTATATTACTTTTATTATTTCTATTTAATTTATTTAGTTTTAGTTTCACCTAAACTTACGTCAGCTAGTTGCCAAAGCAAGATAATTCAGTTAATTTTAATATTTTTCCATCTAACAATTAAATTTTATTTTAGCTTTATTTCACTTACCAAAAGCAATTAAAATTGTTTTAGTTTCAGTTAACAATAACCATGATCAAAACATTATAATGTACAGTAAGAAAAAAAATGTATAAGCTAAAGATTACTTTTAGCAGTGCTTTCAAAGATTAACTTTAAGTGAGCATTAGATGACAACAATGGTAATCTAAATGTAAAAATAAATAATGGAAATTAGCAGGCACAATTAAATACACAATATTGATTAATAAAAAATTCCAATATAGGTCTCTAATATAGGCCAAAAGGTACTGATAATGGTACTGATAATGTGTTTCCATATAAAAGACAATATTTTAAACTTAATGGGTAAAAAGGTACCTTGGACCATAGATACAAAGATTTAGGGGATCTCATTATTATCCATTAAAATGCTTGGTCTGTCTGCCACATAGTTTTCCTCCCGAGAGCTTCTGCTGTTTGCTGAGAGCTTGTCCAATCAGTCAATGGCAAGTATGTCAATATCCCTCAGTACTGCTGCCAGGCAACCCAAAGAAAACTAATGACTGTCTCCACTGGAGAACCCTACAGAACAGACTCCCTCAGAGAGTATGCAACACGGCGCAGCCTGCTAAAAACAAACAGACCTCCGCATAACACACACATATCATTTATAAGGCTACTGTATGTGTAAACTTTCAAACGCTCCTTCCCAATATGGCACAGCAAAACTTTTTGCACCTGAAGTTACTAAAAGTAATGTGGTTCACTGTACCTCACTGAGCGGTACACGCCATCATGAGCTGAAATAATTAACTGAGGAACATTGAGATGGACTAGTGCGCTTCCCCACAGCAGATATCTGTGTAGGTGGAGACAGATGGAGACTCATGTGCTTGCGCCTGCAGGATCTCATTGTGTTCGTGGTGGCGGGAATAGTCGACAGCCCAAACAACAAACGGCTCTCAGCAGGCTGTGCGTCTCTCCGTTTGGGCCTCTCACCTCCGTCAGCACACCCACACAGCCTTAACCAGACACTAACTCTCAGTCATTTCATATGTAAAGCCACGTGTACACGGTGAGATTATTCTGTCCTTTATGATCATTGCTTTTCAGGTCGCCTGCCTTGAGATCTTGGGTAGAAGTCAAGGCAGTGACTGTATGATGCACATCTTATGAGAACAATGACAATGACACCATAAATCACTGCACTTTATGAAATCCTCAAATTGAAATGGTTCTGTACAAATGAAGAAAATAAAATGTTGTGCAGTGTCTGAAATCTATCATGGACTGCTTTTTCTTTAGTTCGAAGGAGCCAAGGTTGATAATGTGAAGGGAATGCAAGATTTCTCGGTAACGCTTCCTTTTACAGTACAGTACTTGTGTGTACTTACCTAGAAAGTACTGGCTAATAAGCACATGGGTTAGGGGTAGGTTCAGGGTTAGTAGGCTACCTAGTTATTACCCAGTGATTGTAATTACTATAATAAGTACATAGTATGTACATGGGTAACAGGACTGTAAAAGGAAGCGTTACCGATTTCTCTCGGCCTCGTTTACACTGTCAGTGAAATGTGACCCAATTCCGATTTTTTACTCGTATGCGACACAGATCGGATGTGTTCTATGACAGTGTAAACAGGAAAAAAACGCATGCATTCGGATATTTCGAGATCGGTTTCAGGCCTCGTTCATATGTGGAAATAAATCAGATGTAAATCAGATGTAAATCAGATATGTGCCAATGCGACTGTGATGTAAACAGGCAGATCGGATTTTCCGAGGCATTAGGCTGCGTCTCCGCGGTTTAATGACGAGAGAAACCCCGACGCGCATCTGCGGATGGACGGATGGCCCGACGAAACATTGTGTCGTCGTAGGAGAGGAATGTGGACACACGTTGACACAAGATATCAAAGGTTGGCTTGCTCATCCTAAAATTTCGGACACACTGCTCCTCGTTAAAGCCCGCCACGATCTCAGTGCGTTTATTGCACGATATTTTTTCACTTGCCATTTACGCCAAAAATATTTTTTTGGCGTAAAACTATTTTTGGCGTATAAATGGCATGAGAAATAAAATTTGTGCTATAGATACTCACTTTTATGAGATCGTGTTGTATGTTCCCACCAGTCCTAAGATCTCGCTGCGCGTTCGTCCATCTGAGCAAGAAGACCCCTTTAAACATGCGCGATGTTTCAGTCAAGTGTAAACACATGACTCGGATATGGGTCACAATTTAAAGAACGTGTAAACGGACGGTAAAAAAAAAATCGGATATAGGCAACAAATCAGAATTGGGCATCAAGACCTACAGTGTAAACGAGGCCTAAACACACTGCATCAAACATCACCAGTTAAGTTGTTCTTCATCACACTGTAGGACTGCAACCCAACCTTTCTGATTCATCATCACAGATGCAGTAAAACCCCGTTGGTGTGAAGGAAAGTGATAAAAGACTGCAGAGTATGCAACAAAATAAAATTGTCAAGATTACAAAAATGTCTCAAACATTAAAATCGTGGCCATAGTCAAACAGTATAGGCATAATACATCAAATGTCATCAGGAACACTATTATATAATAAGTGTCCAATGGCCAGACAAGTTTCAATCCCTCTTCTCCAGCAACCTGTCACTCGGATAAAACAGTTTTAGTTTGCATTTGCATGAGTCAGTCAAAATTTCCTGTTCCCACGAATCCCACACAATATCAAGTGCCAAAATGAGTCAGTATTGTACACCTATTTTTTTCATTTAGTTTTACGACCCATGGTAGACAAGTTGTTCATGCAAGTTTAAAAAGGTAATTTTTGCAAATAATGCAGAAATATATAATAAAATACTATAATATAATACAATATAAACAATAGGCCTCTGAAAAAGCACTCTAGTTCAAAAATAGACTCAAATACAAACAACTAGAACAAGGTAATTTTGAAAAGGAATAAATTACTAAAAAACAAAGATGTCCACCGCACCCAGAGTTTTTCCAAAATCGAAGGGGAAATCACAGGCATGAAAGAAGGCCTATAAACCTCCATTGTTCATTCATCTAGACAACAACTAACCACATCTTGAGCTTTTCCTCCATGGAAATGGGCCAGGAATGGAAATATCCTATAAAGTTGGGTCACACACATCAGTCTGGCACATTGAATCCCTCAAATGGTCCAAGACGAAGATGGAGAGTGTCCAACAGCCTGGCACTGTAATTGAACTTCTCTATCTGCTGAAGGAGGTAAATAGCTCTAAAGCACATTTTCTTGTTGTGTATGCACATTTCAAAGTGCCCACAGATCACTTTAATAAAGAAACTGAGCATTGCTCAGTTTTGCAAAAAGCATTGGAGACAAGATAACTTTCAACTTGAGCTTGTAGCACAAGTATAAGTAAAATTATATAACTGATAAAGGTCTTACATAATATCTATTTTTAATTTATCTAGGTTGAAGCCAAATTAAGCTGTTCTCTCCATTGTCGCTCTGTCTCTTATGACCGGTCTAGAAACAGTTTGGCTATAGTCAAGACCTTTGGTGGAAACATCAAAATAAATTTTCTTCCATAAATGAAGACAATGTAAAGACAAATTCAAAGTATCAGTATTCAAAAGCACATCTTTACACTAACTCACTGTTCCTCTACATATCTGCTTCTGCATCAAACTTTTAAAAAGTGTTAAAACCATTTACAGCAGCACTTTAAATTAGTCTAAATGGGCTCAGAACAAACATACAGAGACGCCTTTGGTAGGTCTTCGGATTTGTGTCAGCAACACTGAAATCCCTGAACAACCTAATTGCTTAATTGGATTACATAAAGGAGGAGTATGTGAATACATAAGCATATAACTGTGCTAGTCAGACCTTAATGTTGCTAAGAGAAAGACAGACAGAGAGAGAGAGATATAAAGTCGCAATTGCAGGATATAAAGTCACAATTGCGTGTTGTAAAGTCAGAATTATGAGATATAAACTCGCAATTGTGAAAATATACTTGAAATCCTGACTTTCTCTCAGAATTGCATGTATATATATCACAATTATGACTTCATAATACGCAATTGCGTGTTATAAAGTCAGAATTGTGAAATATAAACTATTGTTTATTGATATAAACTAAGAATTGTTTGTTTTTTCTCTCGCAATTCTGACTTTATACAGTATCTCGCAATTCAATTCTGACTTTATATCTCGCAATTCTGACTTTATATCTCGCAATTCTGACTTTATATCTCGCAATAGGCTTTATGCACAGCTTCACTACTTCCTGAACTTCAGCCAGCCCTTTGTTTCCTGTCTGTCATTATTGGACAAACTGATTAATTCAGGTGTGCCTGGCCTCAGTAACAATAATCAGGCACACCTGGATTAATCAGTTTGTCCAATAATGACAGACAGGAAACAAAGGGCTGGCTGAAGTTCAGGAAGTAGTGAAGCTGTGCATAAAGCCTATTCTGACTTTATATCTCGCCGCCCTGCCAACAACGCTGTAGAAAGATTCGTGGACTCTCTGGCGTAGATCGAATGTTCGGTCTTGTAATCTTTATTTAAAGGGGTCGCAAAGCAAACAAGCATACAAAGTTACATGTTTGCTAATGAAATAAACAAAT